CGGGGCGGCGGACCGCGGCGCGCTAGCCTGGCTCTGCTACGACGCGCTGGTGCACTTAGTGCTGGTGAGTGTCTCGCTCCGGGCTGTGCTTCCCTCTGGACCACCCTTTCCCATTCCAGGGAGTTTCCGCTGGAGATGATGGCTTTTCTTCCCGGTGGGTGGAAGTCTGGCAGGACCCGGGTGGGACCTGGACACTGGCGTGCTGGCCTTTGGCCAGATGCTGCATGGCCCCGAATTCTGATTCCCGAGTCTGTGGACAGAGCGCGCCGCCCTTCTAGTGCTCCCGGTTCCTGTACCAAACTTAAAGCAAAACAAAAGCCCAGAAAATTGCTAGAAGAGTTTCTGTTTGATTAAAAGCTGCTCAAAAGCAACAGCCTTGGCTTCCTTGGCTTTATAACCAACGTGTAAGTGTTGAACTGAAAAAGACTTAAGTTTAGGTCCTTTTTGAATGGCAGAACCTTCACTTTTTGAATGGCAGAATACTACAATAGTATTACACCAAGGCTGTAATAGTAATCACATTTATTAAGCACCCACTGTGTGCCTGGAACAGTTCTGCGTTTAAAATTTTTTTCTTACAACATCCCATAAACTACTTATTCTCCCCATTTTACAGAGGTGAAACCAGATCCTGAAAAGTAGCTGGCATAATTCTGAGTTGGTTTCTTCTGACTCAAAAGTTTGCACTTTTTATATCGTTGTGTCCTTAAAAATTCACCCCACTTTATAAAATAGCCAATAAGTGTGCATTTAAGAAGATTCTGTTGAAATACCCCCACCCATATCCCTTTTTTAAACTTTTTTTTGTGGGGGGGTGGGGGGTGTGTGGTGCTGGGGATTGAAGCCAGGGCCTTGTGCTTGCGAAGCAAGCACTCTACCAACTGAGTTATATCCCCAACCCTGTTTTATTTTCTTTTTAAAAACTATGCCAAAATATCTTATTGTTTGTAACTTTGACCTAGCTTATATCTAGACAGATCTTAAGACAACATGAAGTCAAAGTCCATAGCATTGAGAAAGAAAAAGGAAGCAAAATTTTTGGTAATCATTTAGCAAATGTGGATGTTTACCAGTTAAATGTGTGTCTATACCAGATTTTGCTGGAATTACAAAATATCTTCTTTCCTGATAATCAGTATGGAAGATAAGAGACCATGAATATTTCCCACAGCTCATTTATTTATAGAATTGATTTTTAAGCTGTCCCTTGAACTCAAAATCTGCCAAAGAACAGGGGTAGTAAAACTGGTTGCTGAGCCCACTAAAAAAACAAACAAACAAACAAAAACAACAACAACCAAAAAAAGAAAAGAAAACAGATTATGCCCTGCACAGTGGAGCACACTTGTAGTCCCAGGGATTCAGGAGACTAAGCAGAAGGATCCCAAGTTCAAAGCCAGCCTCAGCAACTTAACAAGGCTTTCAACAGTTTAACAAGATCCTGTCTTTTGTTTTTCCATCAGACACAGATTTATTTAGGAAAAAAGATACACATTCAAGGGAGAATATAACCCATCTCCAGAGGGAGAGACCTCCCCCGCCCAACAAGACCCTATCTTAAAAAATAAAAATGACTGGAAATGGAACTCAGTGGTAAAAGTGCCCCTGGGTTCAACCCCCAGTACCCTCCAAAAATTTTTAAATTTATTTATTTTAATTAGGTATATATGATAGCAGAGTGGGTTTTGATTCATTGTACACAATTGCAGCACAACTTTACATTTCTATGGTTGTACACAATGTAGCATCGCACCATATGAGCAGTCATACATGTACCTAGGGTAATGATGTCCATCTCATTCCACCATCTTTCCTGACCCCCTGGGCCCTCCCCCCCTTCCCTCACCCCTTCCTTCCCCCCTTCCTTCCCCCTCCCTTCCTCCCCTCCCCCTCCCTCCCCTCCCCTTTGCCCAATCAAAGTTCCCCCATTTTCCCATGCCTTCCCCCTCCCTGTTATGGATCAGCATCCACTTATCACAAAGAATATTTGGCCTTTGATTTTGGGGGATTGGCTTACTTTGCTTAGCATGATATTCTCCAACTCCAACCATTTACCTGCAGATATCATAATTTTTTTCTCTTTTAATGCTGAGTAATATTCCATTATGTATATATACCACAGTTTCTTTATCCGTTCATCTACTGAAGGGCATCTAGGTTGCTTTCACAGTTTAGCTGTTGTGAATTGAGCTGCTATGAACATTGATGTGGCTGTGTCACTAGTATGCTGATTTTAAGTCCTTTGGGTATAGACCAAAGAGTGGGATAGCTGAGTCAAATGGTGGTTCCATTCCCAATTTTCCAAGAAATCTCCATACTGCTTTCCAGATTGGTTTCACCAGTTTGCAGTCCCACCACCAATGTACGAATGTGCCTTTCCCCCCACATTCTCACCAACGTTTATTATTGACTATATTCTTGATAGCTGCCATTCTGACTGGCATGAGGTGAAATCTTAGAGTAGTTTTGAAAAAGTAGCCTACTTTTTCCTCTATTAGGTGCAGGGTCTCTGGTTTAATTCCTTGGTGCTTGATCCACTTTGAGTTGAGTTTTGTGCATGGTGAGAAAGAGGAATTTATTTTCATTATGCTGCATATGGATTTCCAGTTCTCCTGCACCATTTGTTGAAGAGACTGTCTTTTCTCCACTCTATGTTTTTGGCACCTTTGTAATATAATGCAATGTATGAATGTGCCTTTTCCCCACATCTTCACCAGCACTTATTGTTGTCTGTATTCTTGATAGCTGCCATTCTGACTGGCGTGAGATGAAATCTTAGAGTAGTTTTGATTTGCATTTCTCTAATTACTAGAGATGTTGAACATTGTTTTCATATATTTGTTGATTGAGTGTATATAGCTTCTGAGAAGTGCATGAGATAACTGTATTGTGTGATTTTGTCACTATGTCTTCTATTCTGTACCATTGGTCTACATGTTCATTTTGGTGCCAGTACCACGCCATTTTTGTTACTATAGCTTCATAGTATAGTTTAAGGTCTGGAATTTTAATGCCTCCTGCTTCACTCTTCTTGCTAAAGATTGCTTTAGCTATACTGGGTCTCTTATTTTTCCAAATGAATTTCATGATTGTCTTTACTATTTCTATAAGGAACAACATTGGGATTTTAATTGGAATCACATTGAATCTGTAAAGTGCTTTGGGTAGTATGGCCATTTTGACAATATTAATTTTGCCTATCCATTCACCCCACTTTATAAAATAGCCAATAAGTGTGCATTTAAGAGGATTCTGTTGAAATGCCCCCACCCACATGCTTTTTTAAGAGGATGGAAGATCTTTCCATCTTCTAAGGTATTCTTCAGTTTCAGTTTCTTTCTTTACTGTTCTATAGTTTTCATTGTAGAGATCTTTCACCTTTTTTGTTGATTCCCAAGGTTTTTTTTTTTTTTTTTTTTTTTTTGAGGCTATTGTGAATGGGGTAGTTTTCCTAATTTCTCTTTCAGAGGATTTATCATTGATGTATAGAAATACATTTGACTTATAAGTATTGATTTATATTCTGCTACTTTGCTGAATTCATTAATTAATTCTAGAAGTTTTCTGGTGGAGTTTTTTTGGATCCTCTAAGTATAGAATCCTCTTGTCAGCAAATAATGATAGTTTGAGTTCTTCTTTTCCTATCCGTATCCCTTCAATTTCTTTCTTCTAATTGCTTTGGCTAGAGTTTCAAGGACTACGTTGAATAGAAGTGGTGAAAGAGGGCATCCCTGTCTTGTTCAAGTTTTTAGAGAGAATCCTTCCAATATTTCTCCATTTAGAATGATGTTGGCCTTGGGTTTAGCATAGATAGCTTTTACAGTGTCGAGGTATGTTCCTACTATCACTAGTTTTTCTAGTGTTTTGAACATAAAAGAGTGCTGTATTTTGTCAAATGCTTTCTCTGCATCAATTGATACAATCGTATGATTCTTATCTTTTTTAAAAAATATTTACTTTTTATTTGTGCATGGACACAATACCTTTTATTTTATTTATTTATTTTTATGTGGTGCTGAGGCTCGAACCCAGGGCCTTGCACATGCTAGGTGAACGCTCTACCTCTGAGCAACAACCCCAATCATGAGTTTTATCTTTAAGTCTATTGATGTAATGAATTATATTTATTGATTTCCATATGTTGAATCAAACTTGCATCCCTGCAAAAAATTTTTTTAAATTATTACATTTTAGGCATACAAAAAAGGTCTGAAAATACTAAACAATATGTCTACATGTCCACCACCTAGTTTAAGAGTAAGTCTACTTTGCAATCACAGTTTTAAAGGTAAAAGGACACATAACTTTATTGATGGAGCCTTGAGCTGTAGTCTGATGTGTGGAATTATGTTCTGATCTCTCTGTTTCCTGTTCTGAAGAAAATATCCCCCACACAGCCCCTTCTTGAGGCATTTATCTTTCTTGACTGCAGAGTATTCCACTATGTGAATATACTGTACCTCAGTTCTTCAAGTCAAAGATGCACATTTTCCCACATATTACAATAATCAATGATATAACTACTGTGAGCCTGTTTCATGTGAAGAACAGTAGTTACTAATGTCACTCGGAATGTGAAACCCATATTAGAAATTTCTTTTTCAGATAAGTGTAAGGAGAAATTTAGTTTCTCCTAAAAAAATGGATTTGTGTATTCTTCTCTGAAAGTTAAGGACAATATAAATGTTTCTCCCTTTTCTCTCAAACTGCCTGGAAGCTCAAAACCATATTGGAGCTCTATAGTAACAACAAAAGATGATCTGTGTAAATATATTCTTATTGACCTCTGATCTGGATGCTTATTCCTTTTTATAACTAATATTTTTTTAATTCTAGTATATATTTTATCACTTAATTAAATGTTTTTGTTGTAACTGATCTAAAATGTTTTGTATAAGGAAGAAGTATACACACTTCAAAACCTTTTGGTACTACAAAATATGTTGTATTTTCTTTGAAATGGTGAAGACATTCTACAGGAAATATCTCAGTCTGGTCCTAGTTTTTTTCTTTATAACTAAACATTTTTTTTCAGTGCTGGGGATGGAATCCACCCTCTGTTTT